ATTTGCCCAATAATGGTGTTATCCGATAATTTATGATCATGATTGGTAGGGAGTCACTCGCTGAGTTTGTTTTTTTTGAACATAATTACATAGTAACACATGAAAAAAAATAACAGAAAGTTTTTTCATGATCATAAGAGTTTGTCGGATAACTATAAATATCCATGAATTCGGATAACTTATCTCAAAAAATATATTAATTAATAATACACAAATAAGATGAACTTAAATAGGAGATGATATGTAACTGTAAACATTCATGAGCTTGAATAGCAAATAATCTGAATAATTATCTACTAGATCAACGCGAATGAAGAATGTTAACTGAATTTTGCAGACTAATTAGCAAAAGTAAAATAAAATTAGAAAAATTTTAGTGCATTTATTCGTTAAAATCCAAATATACATACATTCTTCCTTTCTAATTCTAGATCAATCTGAAAATTTGTTTTTGGGTCGCTCAAAGTTTTAGATCAAGTTGGCCACTCTATTCATATCACTAATCACCATATTTAATTTTCTTTTTCACCAACAATTAACAAAATCACCTCATCTTACATTTTTTTTTTCTTCCTATTTTGTACAAATAAAACCATTACCTGAAAAGATCTAGGTTCGACCATTTAACCAACTTTCTTAAAAGGATGTCGATCTTGACTAAATACAATATAAAAATTTTGCACAAAAATGAATTAATAACTAAGTATGTACAGTGTTGAAAAATATAATTAATAATAATTAGTGTTATAAAAATAATAATTGTTAATAAATAATTTTGGCATTTTAGCCAATCATAGTAATGATCATACATATTGTTTTAAAGGCGTTATTTTGGGATTATACAACAAATACTAAAATAGCATTGAGATAATTTGAGCCAGACAAACCGGTTTATGTATGTTTATGTAAACACCAGTTTGAGCTATTTTTAGCCCTTTGCCTATTTTTAAAACCTGGAAGTTAATAATATCTACCAGCGCCAAATTACTTAACAAATAATAAAAAAAATAATTTCTAAATCAGGTATATCTGGAAAAATAATAAAGATTAGTGTTAGGTACAAATTAATTTGTTTTTTTTTTGTTTCATAACTCGATTTGGTCTATTTAAAAAAAAATAAAATTCCGTATCGGTATTTTCAAAAGATAATTTTTTATGAGTAATTTAAAAACCTGGCTTTCGATTTACATTTACGAAAATCAAAAAATTAACGTATAAACTTATGAATTTCTTATTAACTTGATGCACAAAACCAATTAGCATACTGTATAAAAAAAAAAGTAAACCTTTTATTAAGGACCTGTCTAAGTTGTAAAATGATGCAATATTACTGTAATAATTTTTATTATTGGTTTTATTTTCTTGATACGTATAATTATTAAAAAGTACATAGTATCTCAAATTGTATAATACAATAATAAATGATGTCTGTTGAATATATAAATAGATTTCTTAGAAGTTGCTATGCAAGAGTGTAAGATATTGCAAGTAATAGAACCCATGTGGCACAAGCGCCAGTGTCAGCCATTTTTAAACATTTTAAGGTTATCACAGGGCATACCCTTGCGCCAGCGCCGAGGGACGCCGATCCTTAATAAATATAGGCGGTGAACTAGCAAAGCCTCTTTCATAACTGCATTACGTGTGAAATATGTCGGTATACTGTTTAGGAAAACAAGATCCGGAGCGCCGTTTAATATTATTATTCATTACTGCGTTAAAAAAACATTATACGTACGTACGTACGTACGTACGAAAATATTTCATCAAGTTTTGACTAAATTGTTACACGATTATTACATAATAAAAATGCTATTTGTTTTCTTTATATTTTTACTATATATATATATATATATATGATATTATAATGGTATATACATTATATAGTATAATATACAGTAGAGCTATTTTATCCAGCCTATCTGGAAATGAATTTTTGTCCGGATTATCCGATAATTCATCAACCATATGAATGAAAAACTAAAAATCCATAAAAGATTATAGGTAAGATAGAAGATTATATTTATTAAATTAAACATATGTCAATAAACCAAATATGTTACACTATTAAAGTCGATCTAGTTCAAAATTCGACTAGTAGATAATGAAATTTGTCTTTCACAAAAAAAAAAAAATAGATCATAACTTTTTTTGAAGTGATTCTCAAATAGTTTTCACCGAAAGAAGTATGAAGGGTTTATATGAATCTTTTATAAATTTATTTAATTAATTGATTATTTTACCTTTACTAATAAAGTCTTAATACAAGATGATCCCGAATCAGTCGGAAACAAGGTCGACTGGCTGGCATTCTATACTAATCTATAACTATAAAATAAAGCCAATAAAAATTTATTATACACAATTACGTATTAAATTATTTTTCAAAATGCTAGAATTTTAATTAAATTGTAAAACATTGTGGAAAATTACGACATAACACTATACTAAAATCAGAATTTTTAATACGAAACATTACTGTATTTTTTTATAAAGTACTATTCTTTCCGTAGTAGGAAATAAGGAAATTGTTTTCGTTTGAAAAGATTATACTGTAATAAAAGGTGATCTACTCTGATTTACAAGATCTGATCATAATAACACGTTCTGGTTGCAATAATGGTAATAAAATAAAAAAGAAAAATATTTGAATACATTGTGAAAAAGATGTTATGTCATTTATTTTGCGTTGATTAATTGTTATATATTTTGTTAAATTATCGTTTTCTAGTCTTCGTTCGAGAAGGGTCTCGATACAGCATGGGTGACCCAAAATTTTGTATATCAGAGTTGTACTAAAACATTTATGATAAAATTTAATCGTAAATTGTATTACCGTTACGATTTGTTTGTGTGCCATTAATATTTTTGGAAAGAAATACAGTTATTACTTATACAAAAGTTAATATGTGGCCGATCATATGTTACAAATAATTTTTTTTTTTTTAGAACCCACGTCGTAACACATAAATATAGATTTTGTATAAGAGGATAATGTTGTATTACCTTCAGTAAACAATTCCTTTCTAAATCGAATTTCACTTTTTTTTTATTTAAACCATGCTTTTCTTTTACTTTTAAAATTTTAATAAATTACAAAAAAAAAAAAAGAAAAAGAAGAAAAAAAATAAAGAATGCAAAAACAACCAAGTGACATTTATCAATCCAATAACAATTTTAATCCAAATGCCCCTTACACTCATTATAATGTCGAACAATCTCCTTTACCTAGTGAAGGTCCTGTATATAATGAAATAATAGTACCTGCACAAAATGCTCAATTTAATGCACAATCAAATTCTGAGGTAAGAATATCTAAAAATAAAATAAAATAGAATAAAAATAAATTACTAATTTTTATTTTTATCACAAATTCATTTCATAATATTCAAGATTTATTCCGCCCCACAAAATTTACATCGTGTTCCTACTACTTTAAATTCCATTCGTCATATTTCTAAAAATGATGGCGAATTTGAGAGTAAACTTATTGGATCTCCCAATAATAGTATGGCTGAACAAATGAATAGCGCTGTAAAGTTTGATAAACAGTACTTACTTCTTGGAAATGATAATGGTCTATGGGCAATGGATTTCTCAATTCATTGGGATTTAATAAAACCATTCCAATTAATCCGTGGTTGTTCATTTAAGAAATTACACGTTATTGAAGAGTGTAATATGTTAATTGCAATTGCTGGAAAGAAAGATATGATAAGAATATACAAATTAGATTCTTTATTACATTTAATCAAATTTGTAAGCAATTCTGATTCAAAAGCTCCTGTTGATCTTCTTTCTAAAGCTCCCAAAAGAATTTTGGCTCCTAGATGTGAAAATTGTGCTCGTGTAATAGATGAAAATAGTAATAGTCCTAATTGTCAATATTGTGGTTTTGCTCCTAGTATTAATTCAAAATTATCAATGTCCAATTTTTCTGTGCCACTTACTCCTTCTCCCAGCAAATTAAATAGAAGATTAACTAATTTTACTTCTAATTTATCTTTTTATGTTCGAAATTATCTTTCAAACTCTCCTGGTGTAAGTGCCAAAGAAAGAGCTAATATGTGGACTTGGGCTACAGATTTTATATCTTTACCTGAATCTGTAAAAGATTGTATAACTTTTGATATATGTGAAACTAGAGAAAGTATTTTCTTAGCTGCCGTCACTTTAAATAATGGAATTATTCTATTTTCTATGCCTACAGAAATGAAAGGCAATCCAGAATGTAGATTCGACTTTTTAAAATCTTATTATCTTCCAGGAACTCCAAATTTTGTTACCGTAATTACTGATCAATCTTCAATTAAACAAATAATTGCAATTACTGGTGTTAATGGTCGTAAAGTTGCAATTATCGATTGTTACACTACTGAAGTCACTGAGATTAATATGAAAAAAAGTATTACTCCAAAGAATATTGAATTCCCGTCATGGACAAGCTTCATACAAATTCCAATTTCTTATTCTTTAGATTTTCTAAATAATAATCCTGTAATGGATGATCGTCCAGCTATTATACCTTTATCTCCTCCATATTATCAATCTCATTTTCCCTCTTCTTATTCACATGGTTATACATTAGAAAAGGGAATGGATGGTGTTTCACGTCGTTCCACCTACAAAGTTACCAAACTTTCAATTGATGCGGATAAGTCACGTCGTCACTCTAGTGAATTTCCTTCCACTACCACTTCTGATGCTTTTTTATCCCCTCCAATGTCGCCTGTTAATGCTACCTTTGAAACTTTATCACCCGGTCAAGTCTTTATTTGTACTATTTCAAATATGTCTCATCTCGTCAACATACATGCTGAACCTTACAAACATAATCGTCCTATAATCTGGTCATCAGATCCAATCCAAATTACTCTTTTACCAGCTTTTGACGATATACTAGTCATGGCATTTGAAAAGCAATCGGTTGAAATTGCTTCATTAAAGACTGGTAAAATTATTGGACGAGTTACAGATGGTTCACAAATTAAATATTTAGGTGAATCTTTGAAAAAGCCAACACAAGCAAAAGGAAGTTTATCACAACTTAAGTATGATGAAAGCCCTTCTGATGATTTTATAAGAAAACATGTATTTTGGTCCTGTAAATTGAGTGATGATGTATATATTTATCGTGGGTGTATTGCTTAAAGAATGTACTGTATATATATATGTATTTATAATCTTTTTTTTTTTTTTCCTTTTTTTTGTTTTTAAACATAACCATTATCATTATTTTAACTCTTAGATAACATTCCTTTTTTTAAAAAAACCTATTGGTGCAATTAGTATATATATATTTTTTTTCGCCATTTTGGTTTATGCTTACCGAGTAAACTTTCCGGGTTTACGGATTATTATGTTTATATTTCCGGATTCGAGATGTTTGAAGCGCAGGGACGATTCAAAAGCATATTCGATCATCAAGTATAGCATAATTCATATGATATTATTATAAAAAAAAATATGAATAATAAAAAAATTGGTATAAATTACTCAAGAAAAAATTCCGAAAGAAAAAAAGCGCGAATTAAAAAAAGAGAAAAGTCGCGAACTACGTAATACCATTGTTAAAAGGTAGCTTTTTGATATTTTTAGATTATAAGCTAGTTAGTTTTTAAATATTATGGAAATTTTTATGAGTTTTTAGATTACATATTAAGGTATCTTTTGGTGTATACTATGGGGGAGGAAATATTATACTGTATATATCACATTAAATTAAATATTATATATTGGTCAGAATTGAAATATTTTTGGGTATTATTCGATTCGTCTCGCTGATACAAGTCGATACTGATCACCATATTTTTTTAAGAGTAAAAAAAAAAAAGATATTTTAGCGTGTATGGAGGTTTAAATCATCCATTTCAGTTATACTTACTCGAATTATCGTTTTAATTAGCAAATAAAATGTGCAGCTGAGGCTGGCTGAAATTTTAATTTTAACCAATTTTTTTGAAGCAACTGCGACGTGTCGCTCTCACGTAAATGACCAATCAAATTTCAAGATCAGTTTAACGTAACACAGTCAAAAAAACGTTCGTAACTCGAAATTTCACGTATTACCTTTCGTGTTCTAATCGAAAATCGCAACTAATCGAAAAGTTGACAACTAATCGATTGAAAAATTTTTGGCTACTCATATTAAAATCGAATAATCGAAAAGTTGACAACTAATCGATTGCAAAATTTTTGACGATTTGTAGCACTAGTGCTCTAGCAAAATTTTATTATCAAATTTATATCCTTAGGGACGTGTCAGATATTAGCTGAGATCAGTTTACTATAAAGCTCACCCCCCTCCCTCCATCCTGAGAAATTTAGTTATTCTGATTGGTTATAAGTATATATTTAGACCTGAGATTTTGTCTACCTCCCCCCTACGTATCAGCTGATATCTGACACTTCCCTTACTCTAACCAACATAGCGGGCTTTAATTCTGATTGGTCAATCACTAAATATATCGTCACATATTACACCACATATATCATCTGACT